GACATCAAGGTGCTGCAGAGCGCCCTGGCCGCCATCCGGCACGCGCGGTGGTTCGAGGAGAACGCCTCGCAGTCCACGTGAGTGTGGGGCTGGGGACAGGCCTCAGTGTGGGGCTGGATCCTCGGTGTGGGGCTGGATCCTCAGTGTGGGGCTGGGGACAGGCCCTCAGTGTGGGGCTGGATCCTCGGTGTGGGGCTGGATCCTCAGTGTGGGGCTGGGGACAGGCCCTCAGTGTGGGGCTGGATCCTCAGTGTGGGGCTGGATCCTCAGTGTGGGGCTGGATCCTCAATGTGGGGCTGGATCCTCAGTGTGGGGCTGGATCCTCAGTGTGGGGCTGGATCCTCAGCGTGGGGCTGGATCCTCAATGTGGGGCTGGATCCTCAGTGTGGGGCTGGGGACAGGTCCCCAGTGTGGGGCTGGATCCTCAATGTGGGGCTGAATCATCAATGTGGGGCTGGATCATCAATGTGAGGCTGAATCCTCAGTCTGGGTCCAGATCCTCAGTCTGGGTCTAGATCCTTAATCTGGGTCTGAATCTTCCTTCTGGGTCCAGATCCTCATTCTGGGTCTGAATCCTCATTCAGAGAACTCCTTCTGGGTCCAGATCTTAGTTCTGGATCCAGATCCTCCTTCTGGATCCAAATCCTGGTTCTAGATTCTGATCCTGGTTCTGGACCCAGATCCCCATTCCCAAGAACACAGAGCACGGGCCTGCTGTGGGCCTGAGCCTCCTCCTGCCTCTGCTCCAGGGTGAAGGTTCTGATCCGGCTGCTCAAGGATTTGAGGATTCGCTTCCCCGGCTTCGAGCCGCTCACACCCTGGATCCTGGACCTGCTGGTGGGGTCACCGACGTGGTCATGATCCTGATCCTGATCCTGATCCTGGGGAGCTGGGATTGGTGTCCCAGGCTGGGATTCTTCTAATTGCTGCTCCTCTCCTCTGCAGGGCCACTACGCCGTGATGAACAATCCCACCCGGCAGCCCCTGGCCCTCAACATCGCCTACAGGTCTGCGGTGTTTCCTTTCCAGAAATTCCCCTTGTGGGATAAAACCATTTTTCCTGATAAAACTATTGGAATCTCACGGGGTGACTGGGAGATAAATCCAGCTGGGATTTCCTGGTGGGGTTTTCCCTTTGAGGTTCCATTTATTTTCCTGATAAAACCATTGGAATCTCACAGGCTGACTGGGAGATAAATCCAGCTCCTCCAGCTGGGATTTCCTGGTGGGGTTTTCCCTCTTTGTGGTTCCATTTTCCCAACAAAACCTCTGGAATTTCATGGGCTGACCGGGAGATAAATCCAGCTCCTCCAGCTGGGATTTCCTGGTGGGGTTTTCCATTTGAGGTTCCATTTTCCTGATAAAACCATTGGAATCTCATGGTCTGACTGGAAGATAAATCCAGCTGGGATTTCCTGGTGGGGTTTTCCATTTGAGGTTCCATTTTCCTGGAAAAACCGCTGGAATCTCACGGGGTGACTGGGAGATAAATCCAGCTGGGATTTCCTGGTGCTGTTTTCCCTTTGAGGTTCCATTTATTTTCCTGACAAAACCACTGGAATCTCACAGGCTGACTGGGAGATAAATCCAGCTCCTCCAGCTGGGATTTCCTGGTGGCGTTTTCCTCATAAAACCATCGGAATTTCAAGGGCTGACTGGGAGATAAACCCAACTCCTCCAACTGGGATTTCCTGGTGGGGTTTTCCCTTTGAGGTTCCATTTTCCTGATAAAACCACTGAAGTCTCACGAGCTGACCGGGAGACAAATCCAGCTCTGGTGTTTTCCCTTCCTGGTTCCATTTTTCTGACAAAACCACTGGAATCTCACAGCTTGACCGGGAGATAAATCCAGCTCTCCTCCAGCTGGGATTTCCTGGTGCTGTTTTCCCTTTGAGGTTCCATTTATTTTCCTGACAAAACCATTGGAATCTCACAGGCTGACTGGGAGATAAATCCAGCTCCTCCAGCTGGGATTTGCTGGTGCTGTTTTCCCTTTGAGGTTCCATTTATTTTCCTGACAAAACCATTGGAATCTCACAGGCTGACTGGGAGATAAATCCAGCTCTCCTCCAGCAGGGATTTCCTGGTGCTGTTTTCCCTTTGAGGTTCCATTTATTTTCCTGACAAAACCATTGGAATCTCACAGGCTGACTGGGAGATAAATCCAGCTCCTCCAGCAGGGATTTCCTGGTGCTGTTTTTTTTTTTTTTTTTGCTGAAAGGGTCCATTTTTAACCCAGATTTTCCCTGCTGCAGGCGCTGCCTCCAGATCCTGGCGGCCGGGCTCTTCCTGCCCGGCTCCGTGGGCATCACGGATCCGTGCGAGAGCGGCAACTTCCGCGTGCACACGGTGATGACGCTGGAGCAGCAGGTGAGCAGGGGTCCCCAGAAGGACAGGGGGGCTCTTTTGGGGGTCCCTGTCCCCACACTGAGCCCTCCCTGTCGGCAGGACATGGTGTGCTACACCGCCCAGACCCTCGTGCGCATCCTGTCCCACGGAGGATACCGGAAGATCCTGGGGCAGGAGGGGGACGCCAGCTGTGAGTGGGGTTTGGGGGGGTTGTCAGGGTGGGGACGGGGCCGGTGTCACCTTGAGAAGGTCCCCAGTGTCACCTCCTGGGGCAGACCTGGCCTCTGAGATGTCCACGTGGGACGGGGTGATCGTGACACCGTCGGAAAAAGCGTACGAGAAACCCCCGGAGAAGAAGGAAGGGGAGGAAGAGGAGGAGAACCAGGAGGAGCCGGCGGCGGGGGAGGAAGAGGAGAGCATGGAGACACAGGAGTGACACCTGTGCCACCTGCAGCAGGTGAGGGGACACCAGCCCGGGGGTCCCTGTGCCCTGTCCCTGTTTTGTACGTTGCACATTAAAGTGTCCCCCCTTTCCAGCGTGTCCTGCTTGTTCACATCCGTGTGGGACAGGTGGGACTGGGGCACGTGGAGCAGCAGGAGAAGGATCCAGAACTTGAAGGAACCACCTGGGGCTGCCCAGACCCCACTTGGGGCAGCCCAAACCCCACCTGGGCTTCCCAAATTCCACCTGGGGGTGTCCAAATCCCACTTGGGGCAGCCCAGACCCCACCTGAGCCTCCCAAATCCAACCTGGAGGTGCCCAGACCCCATTTGTGCCTCCCAAATCCCACCTGGGGTCTTCCAAATCCAACCTGGAGGTGCCCAGACCCCACCTGTGCCCCCCAAATTCCACCTGGGGGTGTCCAAATCCATTCTGGAGCTGCTCAGACCCCACTTGGGGCAGTCCAAACCCCACCTGGGGGTGGCCAAATCCAACCTGGAGCAGCCCAAACCTCACCTGTGCCTCCCAAATTCCACCAGGAGGTGCCCAGCCCCCCCTGGCAGCACCTCTGTTGTCCCCAAGGCCCCTCAGGGACGTGGGAACATCATCACAAACTCTCAGTCACTTTTATTCCAGCGCCCACAAATCCGGGATTATGGCTCGGAGTGTCCCAAGTCCCTCAGCTGCAGGTGATGGGGGGAGATCCCCTCAATTCCTGAGCTGGGATCAACAGCAATTCCTGCTGCATCCCCTGGCTGGTCACCTGCTCTCCTGGCTGGTCATTTGGTCACTTGGTCACTTGCCCTGGTAGCCCCCAGCCTCCAGCATGGCTCTCCTCCTCACTGTCTCCTTGGCCACGCTGTGGTTCAGCCTCCTCAGCCGCTCCTGGGCAGGACAAAAATCACAAAAATCACAAAAATCACCTGTCAGCACCTGAGGGGGGCTCTGGGACCCCCCATTTCCCTGCTCCCCCCTCACCTGGGCGTTCTGCAGGATGTTGTTGACCAGCACCACGCGGCGCCGGGCGTTCAGCAGCTTCTTCACGTAGGGGTCGAGGTCCAGAGCCACTTTCTGGTCCTCGTTGATGCGGCAGAGCTCTGGGGAGAGGTTTGGGTGAGCCCCCTGTCCCCCCTCAGGTTGATGGGGGGGACAGGGGTGACCCCCCCAGGGTTTGGCTCACCTGTGGCCAGGCTGTCGATGTGCTCCCGCAGCTCCACCTGGCTCTCCCTGGGGAAGGGGATGGGGAAAAATCGGGATTTACACCCCAAATCCAACTCTATTCCCTCCCCAAAAATGGGAGCTGCATGCCCAGCACCCCCCAGACACCAAGCCCAAAAATTGCCCACCTCATGTACCCCTAAAGCTCTTCAGTCCCAAAATTCACCTTCACACACCCCCAAAGCCCTTCAGACCCACAGAACAGCCCTCATGCACCCCCAAAGCCCTTCAGCCCCAAAACTCACCCTCACTTACCCCTACATCCCCAAAACTCACCCTCAAGTATCCCCAAAGCCCTTCAGCTCCAGAACTCACCCTCACATACCCCAAAAGCCCTTTAGGCCTAGAACTCATCCTCATGTACCCCTGCATCCCCAAAATTCGCCCTCACGTACCACCTAAATCCCTTCAGCCCCACAGACCTCGCCCTCACGTACCCCCAAACTCCCTTCAGCCCCACAGAACAGCCCTCCCCGGCTCCACCGGCTCCACCTGCCCCTCAGCCCTGCAGCCCGGCCCTCCCCGCTACCGGCCCGTCCCTGCCCCGCTGCCGGCCGCCCTCGGTGCCCGGACCTGACGCTGTGGACGTGGCGGTCGAGCTGTCGCACGGCGGGGCGCAGGAACTGCAGCAGCCCCTCGGCAAAGAGCTCCCGAGCCCCGGGGCCGCTCCCCGCCGCCATCTTAACCCGCGGGGGCTGCCGGGAAACCGAGTCCGCGATGAGGGGGAGCGGCCGCTTCCGGTGCGCGCCGCGGGGCCTGCCGGGAAACAGAGTCCGCGATGAGGGGGAGAGGCCGCTTCCGGTGTGCGCCGCAGGAGCTGCCGGGAAACCGAGTCCGCGAGGAGATAGAGAGCCGCCGCTTCCGGTGCGCGCAGCGAGGGCTGCTGGGAAATGTAGTCCCAAGGGCACTGCTGAGCGTCCAAAGGCGCTCCCACGGCCAGGCCACAGATTCCAACCCCATCCATTAAATAATGGTTAAAACACGCTGTTGGTCCTTTCGCCTCGTTTTAAAATTTTTTTTGGTTTATTTTCATACAAAAGTTAAAGCAGGAGGTGGAAATCAGCACCGAGGGCTGCACTACACCCAGGCCACAAACACCAACCCCATCCATTAAATAACTGTTAAACCAACACACTTTCTGTAAACTCACTTCATTTTTTTGCCATTTCGCTTCATTTTTTTGCCTTTTTTCCCCTTTTTTTTTGGCCGTTGCTTGCAGGATTCAGGCGTGGGCGTCGGGCAGGGCGTGCAGGACGTGGTCCAGCAGCTGCAGGGCGCGGTGCAGGTGCACCTCGATCCAGCAGGGCGTGCAGGTGATGCTGGCCCGGGGGTAGTCGGGCCCCCAGCCCTTAACGAAGCTCAGCCTAACGAGGCACAGGCGCCGCAGGTCATCCACGCCGAGCCCCGCGGCCACCGACAGCCCTGGGGGGGGGACATGGTCAGCACGGGGGTCCCAACCTGTCCTGGGTGGTGGGACAGCCCTGGGGGTCAGCACGGAGGTCCTGCCCTTGCTGTGGTCACTCACAGATGGTGGGAGGGGTCATCATGGGGGTCCCAGCCTGTCCTGGGGTCACTCAGGGGTGGTGGGACAGCCCCGGGGAGGTCAGCACAAGGACTGAGCAGTGCTGTGGTCACTCAGGGGGGTCAGCACAGGGACTGAGCAGTGCTGTGGTCACTCAGCACAGGGACTGACCATTGCTGTGGTCACTCGGGGGGGTCAGCACAGGGACTGAGCAGTGCTGTGGTCACTCAGCACAGGGACTGAGCAGTGCTGTGGTCACTCAGGGGGGTCAGCACAGGGACTGAGCAGTGCTGTGGTCACTCAGCACATGGACTGACCATCGCTGTGGTCACTCAGCACATGGACTGACCATCGCTGTGGTCACTCAGCACAGGGACTGACCATCGCTGCGGTCACTCAGGGGGGTCAGCACAGGGACTGAGCAGTGCTGTGGTCACTCAGCACAGGGACTGACCATCGCTGTGGTCACTCAGGGGGGTCACATACGGACTGAGCAGTGCTGTGGTCACTCAGGGGGGTCACACACGGACTGACCATCGCTGCGGTCACTCATGGGGGTCACACACGGACTGACCATCGCTGTGGTCACTCACCGATGGCCGGGGCGATGCCCCCCACAGAGGCAGCCCCGGGGATGCTCCCGGCCACCGCGGCCGCCTGGGCAGTGGCCGCAGCCTGGGCAGTGGCCGCCTGCTGCTGCATCTGCCGGTGGCACTGGCGCAGGTCAAACACCTGCGGGGACACCGGGGGGGGCACACACACGGTTTATCAAAAATCCTTTCCTTAAGAGTTTTTTCTTAAGATTTCTTAAGGTTTTTTTTTCTCCTGAGAAGCTGAGAAACCTCAAAAAGAAAATATAAATGATAATTATCTACTGCTGTGAAATGCAATAAGTAGATCTGTGATTGGTCTGATGTAATTATTTCTAATTAATAACCAACCACAATCCAGATGTCCGGACTGTCTCAGTCCTTTATCATCATTCCTCTTCTATTCTTAACTAACCTTCTAATAAAATCCTTTCTTCTAGTATTTTGATAGTATTTTAATATAATATATATATATAAATAATTTGTATATTTATCAAATATATATTTATAAATAAATATATATTTGATATAATATATAAATATAGAAAATATATTATTATATATTATATATAATAATATATGTATTTATAAATAAGTATATATTTGATATAATATATAAATAAATTTATAATATATATTATGTCTATAATATATAATATATATTATAAAATTTATCAAATATATATATTTATTTATAAAACATGTTTTAGAAGGTTGGATTTATAAATAAATAAATATATAAAATAAGAAATAATAAATAAATTTTAAAAATTAAATAAATATAAAAATAAAAAAATTAAATAAAAATAAATAATTTCTTTATAAATCAAACCTTCTAAAACATAAAATCACCACTCTCATCTCTTCCCTCATCCTCAAACCCCTACAAACACCACACAGGGGGACCCCTGAGCAGGGCACCTTTGGGACTGGGGGCATCCCTCCATCCCTGGGGTCCTTCCACTGCCCAGAACCCCCAAAAATCCGGGCACAGCCCCCCCCCAGCCCCCCGGGGACCCCGACCTTGATGTGCGCTCCGGGGTACACCTTGTGCACGGCGTCCCCGGGGGCTCTGCCCGCCTCCCTGTCCAGGTAGAAGCTCTGCACGAACACGGCGTGGTCGCTGCGGCAGCGCATCCACACATCGCCCTCTCCTCGGCGCTCCAGCTGCACGCCCTTCCCGATGTGCAGCCTGGCCAGAGCCTCAGCATGGACCCCCTCGGGACCCCCCGGGACCCCCGAGCCCCCCTCAGGACCCCCCCAGGACCCCCGAGCCCCCTTAGGACCCCCCAGGACCTGTTCCAATGCCCTGTTCCCCTGCCCAGCCCTCTCCTCGCTGCTCCAGCTGCACGCCCTTCCCGATGTGCAGCCTGGCCAGAGCCTCAGCATGGACCCCTCGGGACCCCCCGGGACCCCCGAGCCCCCCCAGGACCCCCGAGCCCCCTCAGGACCCCCCAGGACCCCCGAGCCCCCCCTGTTTCACCCCCCCAGCCCCCCGTTTTGCCCTGATTATCCCATGATTTTTCCTCACATTCCTATCACACCGGTTTCCCCCTCTCTCCTGATTTTTCCCCTTTTCCTCCTTCTGCCCTAACTATCCCCCATTTCGCCCTTTTCCCATTTATCCTCCAACCCCCCCCACCCCGATTATCCCCCTTTTGCCCCCCATCCTTCACCTCCACAGCCCCTGTGAGCCCCTGCTCTTTCCCAGGCCTGATTCCCCCCCATTACTCCCCACCCTCTCCAATGGCCCCCGTGCCCTCTGTGCCCCCTTAACCTCCTGGTGCCTCCCCATGCCCTCTGTGCCCCCCATTCCCTCTGTGCCCCCTTAACCTTCTGGTGCCTCCCCATGCCCTCTGTGCCCCCTCTGTGCCCCCCATGCCCCCCGACCCACCATATCCCCCGTGCTCCCCGTGCCCCCCTGACCCCTCTCACCCCCTGTGCCCTCCATGCCTCCCATCTCCCCCATGCCCCCCTCACCCCCCAATGCCCCCAATGCCCTCCGTGTCCCCCCCTCATCCCCCATGCCCCCCCCATGTTCCCCATTCCCCCCATTCCCCCTGTGCCCACCACGCCCTCCCTCCCCTCATCCCCCCCATCGCCCCCATACCCCCGATGCCCCCCATTGCCCCCCATTGCCCCCCGTGCCCCCCGACCCACCGTGCCCCCCGACCCACCGTGCCCTCTCGCTGGCAGCGCAGCGCTGCACGTTCGAGAGCTGCCCCAGGCAGAACCGGGCGCCCCCCGAGGGGTCCACGTATCCATCCACGACCACCGAGGGGCAGCTCGAGGGCACCTTGAAGATCTCCCCCACCTGCACGTCCTGCTCGAAGTAGGCGATGGAGCACCAGAACTCCGGGCCTGGAACAGGGGAAAATTGGGGTTTTTAAGGGGGGGGGGGTCACGGCACCCATGGGTGCTAAGGAGGGTGGGGGGCACTCACCAGGGTGGGTGGACACGGGGGGTTGGAGCATGGGGGGCCCTGGGTGGGGTAGAGAGGGGGTCAGCAGCTTGAAGACCCCTCCCAAGCCCTCCCCCAGTGCCCCCCAGACATACAGCAGTGGTTGGGCCGGTGCTGGGGGTGGCCCTGGCTGCCGGGATGTTGTGGCAGGGGGGGCTGCGAGCCCCCCAAGCTCGGGGTGTAGATGGTGGCAGGGCTCCAGCTCAGCGGTGAACCTGCAGGGGAACACGGGGGGACATAGGGAGGGTCCCCCCAGAGGGGGTTTGGGGCAGTGGGGTACCCCCATACTCACCGTGCTGGGGTGGTTTGGGGTACCCGTTCTGTGCTGGGGGGCCCTCGGGGTGGCCCAGGGGGTCCTGGGGGGTCGCTGTGATGGGGGGAAGATGTTGATTTTATGTTTTAGAAGGTTTGATTTGTTATATATATATATATATATATATATATATATTTGTATATAAAAATATATAAAAAATATAAAAATATATTTATATGTTTTTATATATTTATATTTTATATATTTATATATTTTATATATTTGATATATTATATAAATTTTACATATTTAGATATTTATATATTTTTATATATTTTCATATATTTATATATTTTAGATATTTATATATTTTTATATATTTATATCGATATATATATTGTATATTGTGGAGTGAGGGGCTCAGGGCGATGCCCCAAACCCTCTCGGGGGGGGTTCTCACCTTGGGGCGCCATGGGGAGCGCAGGGTAGCTCCGGGGGGGCACTCGGGGGGGCTCAGGGGGCAGCGCTCGGTGGGGCCGGGCGGGGGTCTCGACCCCCAGGTCCCGAGGGGGGGCCGGCAGCTCCATCTGCACACAGTCATGGACAAACTCCTCCTTCACCGGGCGCGGGGGGGGCACTGGGGAGGCCGGGGGACACACACCGGAGACCATGGGGGGGCACGGGGACCCGCGGCGGGGGCCTGGGCTGGCTCCGGGGGCGCCCCGGGCCGGGGTCTCACCTGTGCTCGGGATGCTCAGACCTGCGGGAGAGGTGGGGAGGGGGATTAGGGGTGCTGGTGACCCCCCCCCACCTTGGTGACCCCCCCATTTCGGGGGTCCCGGCTCACCGCTGCCGGGGGTCCCCACGCGCTCGTAGTGGTAGGGGTTGACACAGACGCTGTCGCACTTGAGGTCGAAGGCGAATTGGCAGAAGCGGGCGGGTTTCAGCTCGTTCTTGTGCAGGTCGGGCCAGCGCCAGAGCCGCGCGTAGATGACGTGCGGGAAACCCTTCCTGCCGGCCACCTGCGGGAGGGGGACACAAACGGGGAGGGAGGGGCTGGGACCCCTCCCCGGGGTGACAACAGCGGGATCACCCCTGGGGTGACAGCACTGGGATCCCCTCGGGGTGACAACAGCGGGATCACCCCTGGGGTGACAGCACTGGGATCCCCTCAGGGTGACAACAGCGGGATCACCCCAGGGGTGACAGCACTGGGATCTCCTCAGGGTGACAACAGCGGGATCCTCGTCAGGATGACAATACCGGGATCCCCTCAGGGTGACAATACTGGGATCCCCCCCGGGGTGACAACACCGGGACCCCCAAAGCCCCCACAGTGGGATCCCCCCAAACCTCCACACCGGGACCCCCCAAACCCCCACACCGGGACCCCCCAAGCCCCCACACTGGGAACCCCCAAACCCCCACACCGGGGTGCCCCCAATCCCCCACACCGGGACCCCCCAATCCCCCACACCGGGACCCCCCCAAACCCCCACACCGGGACCCCCCAAACCCCCACACTGGGATCCCCCTGAGCCTCCACACTGGGATCCCCCCACACCGGGGTGCCCCCAATCCCCCACACCAGGACCCCCCAATCCCCCACACCAGGATCCCCCCAATCCCCCACACCAGGATCCCCCCAGTCCCCCACACCGGGACCCCCCAATCCCCCGCAATGGGATCTCCCCCAATCCCCCACACCGGGATCCCCTCCAGGCCCCCCAGCACGGGGCTGGCGCCAGGCCGGGGGTCCCCCCGCGGTTCCAGACATAACAAACGCCCCCTCCCCGCTCCCCCCGGCTGCGGCAGACTCTGACTCACCGGGCAGGGCAGGGCAGGGCAGGGCAGGGCGGTGCGGGGCAGCCGCGGAGGGGAGGGGGCTGCGGGCAGGGGATGCAGCCCAGCCGCTCCCGCGGGACCCCGGGCACCCCAACACGCAGGACCCCCTAATCTGGGGTGGGTTTACCCTGTCCCCCCCATGCCGGTGTCCCGGGGTACCTGGAGCCGCCCGTCCAGGGTTCGCTGCACGGTGACACACTGGCCGGGCTGGGCCCCTCCGGAGGTGACAGCGGCCACCAACGCGTCCAGCTCGTCCCTCTTCTCCTTCAGCTTCCTCAGCAGGCTCTGGATGGCGCGGCGGGCGAAGGCCTCGCTGTCCCCTCCCTGCCGGTGGCACAGCAGGCTGTGCACGATGCCGGGGCCGCTGTCGCCGCCCAGGGACATGGCGTGTCCCCGCGGGTCACCCTGCTGCAGGGGACACCGAGCCGCTGGCACCAGGGAAGGTGGCACCCTCCAGGTGACAAAGCCACGTCACCCAAAGCCTGGTTGATGGCACGACATGAGTGCCAGTTCGTCCCCAGCGGGTCACCTTGCTGCAGGGGACACCGAGCCGCTGGCACCGGGGAGGTGGGTGGCACTCTCCAGGTGACAAAGCCATGTCACCCAAAGCCTGCGTTCTGCGCTCCCTGAGTGCCAGAGTTTGTCCCCAGTTTGGGGTGAGGTGACCGAGCACGGTTTACAGGGGCACCCGGGGTGTCCCCAGGCAGAGCTGGATGATGGTGGCATCAGGCTCGGGGGCAGCGCTGTCCCCAGCCTGGCACGGAGCAGGGCTGTGGCCGTGCCCGGTGCCACGGGGATGGAGCCGCTCCCGCAGCCGCCGCCGAGCCCAGACTAAACAGAGGCCAGCCTGGCGCCGCTCCTTAACCCCTCTCATTCTCTCCCTGCCGGCTTCTCCCTTTCCTGCCAGACCCTGCTCACGCCAGAGCTTTGGAAAATCCTCGGGATGGCGGCAGACACAACAAACGCTGCTCTCTGCTCCTTATCTGCGACTGCGAGGGAGCCTGAGTGTCCTGCCAGCACTCCCCGCGTGTCCCCAGGCTCCTCCAAGATGGGGACACGTCCAGGGATGCTGAGGGACCCCATGGGGCTCCCTGTGGTGGGGGTGAGACCCTGAGCCCCCCGCCAGGCTCTGGGGTTCATCCCGGGCACCTCATCCCTGCTCCCTGCCCATCCTCTGCCTCATGTTTTGGGGCTAAAAGCAGTGGGAGAGGGGACCTGGGGTCCTGCTCCCCCTCCCAGCATCCCAAGGCTGCTCCAGGGAAGGTTGGAAGGGTCGGAGCCATTCCCGTCCCTCCGCAGAGCTCAGCCCGCTCGGGTTTGGGGGAAACGGCTCATTGGGGCCAGACCCGGCCCCGTCCTCACCCCGCATCGCCCTGCCCGGAGAACCCCGGGCTGATCCCAGTGCCAAAACTCGTCCTAGGGATGTTCCTGGGACACCACGGGCCACGGGAAGGCGACAGGGACAGCGCAGGGGTTCTGAGGAGCGACACGCTTCAAGGAGGGGGTGACAGGCTTCGAAGAAGAGGGGACACAGCGGGGACCCCCAGAGGTGGCTCGGGCTCCACTCACCTGCACCGGCCCCGGCTGCCGTCACTCGCGGCCCGGCTCCCGCCGCATCTCCTCCGGCTCACGGTGGGGCTGCCGTGTGTGCAGAGCCCTGCCTTCCCCTCAGCCCCTGCCCTCCCCTCAGCCCTGCCCTCCCCTCAGCCCCTGCCTTCCCCTCAGCCCTGCCCTCCCCTCAGCCCCTGCTCTGCCCTGAGCCCCCTGTGCTGCCCTGAGCCCCCCTGTGCTGCACTCAGCCCCTCACCTTCCCCTCAGCCCTCAACCCTTATCTCCCCCACCCTCAGCCCTTTCCCTCAGTCCTCTGCCCTTCTCCTCAACCCCTGCCTTTCCCTGAGCCCCCTGCCCTTCTCTCAGCCCCTTCCCTCAGCCTCTGCCCTTCCCTCAGCCCCTTCCTCCCGCCCTCAGCCTCCTCCTTCTCCTGTCAGCCCTTTCTCTCAGCCTCCCTCGCTTTTTCTGAGCCCTCTCCTCCTCCTCTCAACCCTCTCCTCCTGCTCCCAGCTTTCTCCTCCTCCTCCTCCTCTCCCTCTCCCCGGTCCCGTTCCCGCTCCCTCGGCCCTTTCCCAACTCCGGCCCTACAATAACAAAAGGAGCGGCCGGAGCGCGTGAGGCGCCGCCGCGCCTCAGCCAATGGCAGCGCCCGTGACAGCCGGGCCTCGCCCCGCCAGCCAATCGCGGCCGCGCTTTCACGGCGCCAGCCCCCAGACGGGCCCCGCCCCCGGCGCCGCCGGGCCCGGCTCCCACCGGGAGCGCCGCGGCTCCGGCCCCGGTTACACCGCGGGAACGCCGCGGCTCCGGCCCCGCTTATACCGCGGGTCCAGCCCCGGTCATCCTGCGGGTCTGGCCCCGGTTATCCCGCGGGTCCCGGCCCCGGTTATCGCCCGGTTATTCCGCGGGTCCTGGCCCTGGTTATCCCCCGGTTATCCCACGGGTCCGCCCCCGGTCCCACCGGGAACGCTGCGGGTCCCGGCCCCGGTTATTCCGCGGGAACGCCGCACCGGGAGGGCAGCAGGAGCCGGTGGATTCCCGGTGCCCTCCCTTTCCTTCTGCCCTGTGGAGTAAATTCAGGAAAATCCCATTTCCAGAGAAAACCCCACACAGAATCCTGGGAATTCTCTCTCCTTTAGGTAACCAGAAATGCAAAATTCCAAGGGAACAGGAAAGCTTAAAGCGTGGGTGATAAAAGTACAGAGTCTTTAGTTATGAAAATTCATCTTTTTTTTTTTAAAAAAGATGAATTTTGGAGCCTGTTCTGGAAAAGAGGCATTTCCACTTCACTGTCCTGACTGAATTTTCTGTCCCTGCCTCTCATTTCTTTAAACAAACACTTGAACCACACGGAAATGTGGCGCCAAAAGAACTCAAACTCAAACCCCCCAAAATCCACTAGAACAGGGAAGATTTCCACCTGCCCCAACCCCACAGGGATTTTTGGTGCAGAACAAAAAGGATTTGGGAGGAGAAAACCAGCCAAAGTCAGGTTCTTCCTGCTGGAAAGGCTGATTTGGCTTTGGGGGGGTTAAACTGAACTCCAGCCATCCCAAAATGTACAAAGGCTGATCCCAAAAATCCAACAAACCCATGCCAAAACCCAAGAAACTTGTCCCAAAACTCAACCAAACCCATCCCAAAACCTGACAAATCCATCCCAAAACCGAACCAACCATCCCAAAACCCACAAAGTCATCCCAAAATCCAAGAACCCCATCCCAAAACTCAACAAACCCTTATGAAAATCTAACAAACTCATCCCAAAACCCAACAACCCCAACCCAAAACACGACAAACCCATGCCAAAACACGACAACCCCATCCCAAAACCCAACCCATCCCAAAATCCAACAAACCATCCCAAAACCCAACAAACCATCCCAAAACCCAACAAACCCATCTCAAAACCCAACAACCCCATCCCAAAACCCAACAACCCCATCCCAAAACCCAACAACCCCATCCCAAAACCCAACAAACCCATCCCAAACCCAAGCAGGGAGCTCCAGAGGCACAGACACCAGGTCCCCAATCCACAGGTCCATCCCATCCCTGGCGCTGCCACCAGCAGATTCTCCACAGCAGCTCCATCCCATCCGTGCTTCCTCAGTGAAAAACCACCAAAAAAAAGATCCCCGCAAAAGAACAATCCAAAAAAAGTTTAATACAACAGAGAGTATCAAAACATCCAAGAACACACTAAGTCTGAGTTTCCCCTGGGGGATCGAGCCCTCCCCGGCAGTCCCGGCCCCTCAGTCGGCGGCCTCGGGATCCGTCTGTGCCATGTACGCGTCCAGCTCGGCGTCCAGGTGTCCCTTGGTCTTGGACATGTAGGCGTCCAGCTGGTTGTCCAGCTGCTCCTTGGTGAGCGCGGGCCGTGCCGAGCCTCTGCCGCGGCCCCGGCCTCTGCCGCGCCCGCCGAAGCTGCCCCGGCCGCGCCCGGCCATGCCGCGCCCTGCAGGGTGGGAAGGGTCATGGGATGGGTCCTGGGATTTCCCTCTCTGTCACTGCTGGCACCCCGGGATTGGACACCCCTAATTCAGGGGATTGCACACCCTCCATCCCGGGATTGGACACCCCTAATTCAGGGGATTGCACACCCTCCATCCCGGGATTGGACACCCCTAATTCAGGGGATTGTACACCCTCCATCCCGGGATTGTACACCCCTCATTCATGGGATTGTACACCCCTCCATCCTGGGATTGCACACCCCTCAATTGTGGGATTGTACACCCCTAATTCATGGGATTGCACACCCCTCGTTCAGGGGATTGTACACCCCTAATTCATGGGATTGCACACCCCTCGTTCAGGGGATTGCACACCCCTTGTTCATGGGATTGCACACCCCTTGTTCATGGGATTGCACACCCCTCATTCATGGGATTGCACACCCCTCATTCATGGGATTGTACACCCCTCGTTCATGGGATTGTACACCCTCCATCCCGGGATTGCACACCCCTCATTCATGGGATTGCACACCCCTCATTCATGGGATTGCACACCCCTCATTCATGGGATTGTACACCCCTAATTCAGGGGATTGCACACCCCTCAATTGTGGGATTGTACACCCTCCATCCTGGGATTGCACACCCCTCATTCACGGGATTGCACACCCCTCGTTCAGGGGATTGCACACCCCTCAATTGTGGGATTGTACACCCCTCATTCATGGGATTGCACACCCCTCATTCAGGGGACTGTACACTCCTCATTCAGGGGATTGTACACCCCTCATTCATGGGATTGTACACCCCTCATTCAGGGGATTGTACACCCCTCATTCAGGGGATTGCACACCCCTCATTCACGGGATTTCCCACTCCATCATTGTCTGAATCCCAGGATTTCCAACCCCTCATTCATGGGATTTCATACCCCTCACTACCTCCATCCCAGGATGGGATTTTCCACCTCTTCACTGGTCACTGCCTGCATCCCAGGATTTCCCACCCCTCTCAGCCCCTTAAAGATTCATGGTTACACTCCCAGCTCCTTCTCATCACTCAATTTAGGAGCTTCCTGAAAACTCCTCAGTCCCAGCCTAACACCAACACCCGGCTCTTGGCTTTCCCATCCCACCCTGCTGATAAAACCAGCACAACTTGGATAAAAGCTTTGAATCCCAGGCTGGGAACTCTTGTGGCTGCAGGCCCCAGTCCCCAGCCCTGGCCAGCAGAGAAGGATCCCAGCTGGATCCTGGATTATCCCTGCTGCTCCCAGGCACTGACCTCTGCCGCCGATGCCTCCCCGGCCCATGGCGCCCCGGCCCAGGCCGCCTCTGCCCGGGCCCCCGCGGCCCCTGATGCCACCTCTGCGCAGGCCCATCCTGGGGGCAATCCCTCTCCCACCACGCAGCAGGCCTTGACCTTGGGTGGAAAAGCCAGAAAAATGGGTCTTGAGGTGGGATTTCATGGTTTCCCTCAGAACACGGGTCCCTCCCCTGGTATTTCCTTCCCAGGTGTGTCAATCATCCCTCCCTTCCCCACCCTGAGCCCTGCCGAGCTGCCTGGCAATCCTGGAATTCCAGGAGGGACATCCAGGTGTCCTTTGTCCCTTGTACCTGGTTGGTGGCTCCCTATCCCTTCCCTCCTCCTCTCCTCCAGCAACCACTCAGTTCAGGGAGTTCTGTTGGAGCAGTTGCTGGATCCAGAATAAAAACTCTGGATTAAAACCCTCCATCAGAACTGACTCCTCTCCTTCACCACTGCCTTAAAGCTTCTCCAGCAGAGGGAAACCTGAGGAACCTTCCATGGCAGGAAGCTCCATCCCACCACCACCACCACCAGAGCCCTGAAATGTCTGGACTTGTCTCCACGTGCCCAACTGCAACATCCAGCTGGCCAAAAGTGTTTTTAGGGTGAAACACCTCACATCCAGCTGGCCAAGTGTCTTTGGGGTAAAAACACGTCACACCCAGCTGGCCAAAATGAGTCCCTGGGGTGATCCAGAGAGCCAAAAGTATCTCTGAGGTGATCCAGCTGGCCAAAAGTGTCTTTGGGGTAAAAACACCACACATCCAGTCAGTCAAAAGTGTCTCTGGGGTGATCCAGCTGGCCAAAAGTGTCTCTGGGGTAAAAAAACCCCACATCCATCTGGCCAAAAATGTCTCTGGGGTGATCCAGCTAGCCAAAAGTGTCTTTGGGGTGAAGCAAACACCACAGCTGCCCCTATTTGGTTCAGCCAAGCCAAAGCAGGTCCCACCCGCAGTATCAGCAACACCAATAAACAGAATTTCAGCCAGGGGAACGGCGTGTGAGGGGACAGGGGACGGCTGGCAGGGCACTGACCTCGGAGTGCCACCCCTCCTCGGATGATGGCGCGGGCGCCGCGGCCCCGCAGGGCCCCCCGGGGCAGCCCCCGCTGGCCCAGGGCCAGCCCCCGTTGGCCCAGGGCTCCTCGGGCCAGCGTCCCCGCCGGCCGGCCCAGCCGCGCCTGGATGTTGCTCTTGCCGAGGCGCTGCTTCAAGCTCTTCTGGAAGAGAAGATTTGGGAGGGACAGGAGTCATGCAGCAATCTGGGACTGGGGATGTGAAAGGGCTCCACCACAGGAAAAGCCAGCATGGCAAAGGGTAAAGAGGGAGGGTGGGGTTTTAGGGGATGTTGCTGCCCTGGGACTGTGAAGGTGAAGCAGCTCCCGGAGGCCGGGATGAGCCTTTGGTCTGGAAAAATAGAGAGGAGACATCAACAGGCAGCACCCAACACCCCCCAGCGATAATCAGGGAGTGACCACGTGTAGGGAAAACCCCCAGTGCCAACCATGGAGTGACAGCGTGTCACTGATCTGAGGGAAACCCCCAGTGACAACCATGGAGTGACAGCGTGCAGGGAAAACCCCCAGTGCCAAGCAGGGAGTGACAAGGTGTCACTGATATGATGGAAACCCCCAGTGCCAAGCAGGGAGTGACAGCGAGTCACTGATCTGAGGGAAACCCCCAGTGCCAAGCAGGGAGTGACAGCGTGTCACTGATCTGAGGGAAAAAGTGGAGATTTTCTGCCAGTCCCTCCCAGGTATCTCGTTTTTAGGATTATGGAATGCTCTGAGTTGGGAGGGATCCATGAGGATCATCCAGGCCAACTCCTGGCCCTGCACAGACACCCCAAAATCCCATCCTGGGCATTCCGTGGAACAGCTCCTGGAGCTCGGGCAGCCTCAGGAATGTGCTCATTCCTTGTGGAGCCTGGGCAGTGCCCAGCACCCTCTGGGGGCCCTAAAATCCATCCCAAACCTCCCCTGGCACAGCTTCACCCCATTTCCTGGGGAGCCTGAGCACTCTCGAGGGGAAGAACCTTTCCCTAAAATCCATCCCAAACCTCCCCTGGCACAACTCCAGCTGTTCCCAGGATCCTGTTCCCGTTCCAGGGAGCAGAGATTGGAGCTGCAGATCCCTGAGTCTCCTCTGCCCCAGCTGCACACACCAAGTGCCCCCAGCAGCCACTCCTGACATGGCCCCTGCAGACCCTTCTCCATCCTTGACACTCTCCAACTCCTTATTTACAGAATTCCAAAAGTCTCCAGGTAGGAAAAGACCTCCCAGACCACTGAGTGCAATCCCCAGCTTGTGCCCAGCCCAGGTGCCACATCCAGGCTTTCCCTGGCCACCTCCAGGGATGGCAACTCCAAAATTCCCTGGGCAGCCCCTCCCAAAGCCTGATAATCCTTCCCAGGAACAAAAACCCCTCCTGTGTCCAACCCCACCGTCCTGTCAGGGAGTTCTGGAGAAGCACAAGCCCCCCCTGAGCTCCCCACACTCACCCTCCATCCCCTTCCCTTCTCTGGCCTCTTTCTCTTTCCGGAGTTGTTTTTTCCACATCCTGCAAGGCTCAAATCTCCTTCCCCCTCACCTGTTTGAGCTTCAGAGCAGCCTGCACAGACGGTCTGTTCTCCATCTGCTGGGCCAGCCGTCTGTTTCGAGCGCTGGCCAGCTGCTGCTGCTGCATGGTGGCCCGGATATTCACCGGCATCGGCTGTTTGTTCTTCAGCATGTTAGTGAAGCTTCAAGGTCGAATAAAACGGGGTTTAATTAAAGCTTTAAACACACAATTATCGGCATTTCACGGTGCTCGAGTGGGGCTCCAGCTCCCATGAACCTTTTATGCAAAGAGTGGCACTTTATGGGATTACGGATCCCTCGCTGGAGAGGCAGGAATGAGGTGGAAATTTTCAGTGGGAATGAGAAAGCTGGAGGTTAGTGGGTTTAGAGATGGCAGAAGGGGTGACAACCAGCAGGAAGCGGGGATGGCCGTGACAGAGAGGGGGAGAAACAGGACAGCAAAAGCCAAATCAAGCCCCCCCAAAAAAATCTGGGAAAAGCGTCAAAATTCCAGGCTAGGATGGAGGTGGGGAAGAGGCCACGCTTGGTGTCCTCCAGCATCAGGTTGGAAGGGATCATCTTAAAGCCTTTTCCAACCATGATTGTACAAAATTCCACCACTCCGAGCATCTCCTGAATTCTACCCAACTGCTCTGCTGAAATGAGGCCACTTGGGAATTTATGTGGTGTTTTAATTTCTCCATCAAAGAGAGGTGGTAAATAAAGCTCCTGAGCTCCAGCAGCTTCCTGGGGAGCTGGTGAGCAAAATCCACCCCATAAAAATGAAATTTAATCCCTAAAAATGGAATTCATCCCATAAAGATGAAATCTACCCCGTAAAAATGAAATTCACCCCCTAAAAATGAAATTTAATCCCTAAAAATGAAATTCACCCCATAAAGATGAAATCTGCCCCCTAAAAATGAAATTCACCCCATAAAAATGAAATTTACTGCCTAAAAATTAAGTCCACCCCCTAAAAATGAAATTTAATCCCTAAAAATGAAATCCACCCCCTAAAAACGAAATTCACCTCCTAAAAAATGAAATTTACCCCCTAAAAATGAAATTTAATCCCTAAAAATGAAATCCACCCCCTAAAAACAAAATCTACCCCATAAAAATGAAATTCACCTCCTAAAAAATGAAATTCACCTCCTAAAAATGTAATTCAACCCACAAAAATGAAATTTACCGCCTACAAATTAAATCCACCCCATAAAAAGGAAATTCACCCCAGGAAAATGAAATTTACTGCCTAAAAATGAAATCCACCCCATAAAAATGAAATCCACCCCATAAAAATGAAATTGACCTCCTAAAAACAAAACCCACCTCCTAAAAACGAAATTTACTTCCTAAAAACGAAATTTACCTCCTAAAAACGAAATCCACCCCTTAAGAATGAAATCCATCCCTTAAAAAGGAGGAGTTTGGGCTGCCGGGGAGGGAAGGAGCCAGCAAGGAGCCCCTCCCTGAGCTCGGGCAGCCCCACGGCAGCGCGTTCAACCCCACAGTGCTCAGCTGGACAGACGGACGCCCGTTAGTGATCACGGAGGAGCCAGAGGTGGGAGCACCCAGCGGAATGAGCCACGGGAGGAGCTCGAGGACAGCGAGAGATGGAGGTGAAGCCAAAGCTGGTGCCTCTTACAAGGCCCGGGAGGGCCTTCGGGCCGGTTCCGAGGCCGCCGCCGGCCTCTTACAGAGCCCACCCGGGCGGGTGGGACCCTCGGGCGCGGCAGCAGAGCCAAAATACCAATGTCAAAACATGTGGGAGAGACAGGGAGGGTGTGAGGTTGGTCTCTGCTCTTACAACACATCCCACCGGATTTAGGACAACTACAAGCACGGAGAAATCCCCTCCGGAATTATTTTGGTTTTTGTTTTGTTTTTTGGCCCTTTTAACCTTGGGTAAGGCGGGTGTGGAAGGCACCACCCGCTGGCTGGACGAGGTTAAAAGAGGGCGGAAAAACCACGGTGGGTTTTTGGATTTTTTTTTTTTTTGGATAGTGAGAATTAAGTAAAAAAATAAAAAATAAAAAATATAGATATATGATTTCTTAGGAGCTGAAGGTGCCGTTGGCTTCCTCACCGCTCGTTCAGAGACATCTTGGTGGTGCTCTTTAGCACGACCTTCGGTGCTGACTGTGCAGCCATCTTCAGAGAATCTGCAAAAAACAGGCCCCAAAAATGAACATTTAGACATTTAGTGCACATTTAGACCACTAAATACCAAAAATCCCTTCTGTTCTGCATCCATGAGTGGACGAAATCAAGATTACTGGAGGTTATGTGTAATAGAAAATTCATTTATTTTCAGTGATTTTATTCCTCTGACAGAATTTTTCAGTTCTGATTCAGGGATTTTTAATGTTTTTTAGTCCTCCCCTAATTTTAATAAATCAGGGAATTTATTTCTCCCTTACCAAAAATTCATCTTTTTACAGTGAATGCTTCAGCAATATTAGGAGGAATAATATAAAAATCCAGCAGCAAGATGGAAACCAAATGGCATCTTCAGAGCAAAGATGCAAACCAGAACCCAAGACATCAAATTAATACAATTATTACATATTTACGTGATTAAACATTAAAAAACCTCTGTTGTGTGTGGAGAAAACTAAGAGTGAGACAAGTTATAAATATTATATTTATGTATTTTTAATGTTTTCTAACCCTCTACCAGGTTTAATAAATAGGGGAGTTATTTTAATTTACTTTTAGTAAAAATTTATCTTTTTACAACGAATACCTTATCATCATTTTGAGTAATAACGTAAAAATCCAGCTGTAAATAGCACTCAAATGCCTTTAGCACAGTGACACCTCCACATTTCCCATGTTCTTAGCATGACCAAGGTGCAAACCCCAATTTTAAGGGCACAGGGAATAAAATTTGGAATAAAAATCCAAGGTGATGCTACAAAAGCATCGTATCCTTTAAAAACATCGAGGTTTAAATCCACTCAGGGCAGGGATTTAAATCCCCCCCCCAGTGCTGAATGCTACAGAAACACGCCGGGTTCCAACCTCCCTGCTCTGCAGATCGATTTATTAATTTAATTTATAATTAGCAGCAAATTTAACGGGTGGATAACGGCCGGGATGCGCTCCCTCTGTAACACCCTCAAAAAACCGCTTTATTGAGAGGATTTACACCCAGAAATGGCGACAACAAAAATCCTTATTCCTGTTTTAAATGACTTTTAATAATTTTATTTTAATACACAGCAGCTTTTTCAAATTGAAGTGGTTTAGAAAGCGTTTTTCTTCCTGAGGGGAAAAATAATCAGCTCCGCCCCCCTCAGGCCCGGTTCTGGAGCCCGATAAGGGGGAAAAGCCCCGACCCTGAGGGGACCATGAGGGGATCATGAGGGGGCCATGAGGGGATCATGAGGGGACCCCCCGGGCCCTCAGGATCGCCCCCCCCCGACTCTCCGCCCCCGGGCCGCTCACTCACCGAAGCACACGGTCGCCAGGTCTCCGGTGGCTCCGATGGACAAGCGGGTGATTGCGGGGCCGATGTGGGGCCGGTGTGAGGCCGGCGCGGGGCCGGGGCCGGGGCCGGGGCTGGCGCTGAGCTCCGCCCGCTCCCGCCGCCGCCGCCGCTTCTCCCTCAGCCACCCGCGACAAAATGGCGGCGGCGCCGCTCCCGCCCCCACCGAAATGGCGGCCGGGCTCCCGGCCACGCCCCTGCTGCTCTAGCCCCGCCCTCGGTGGGCGGTGATTGGTGGAGCAGAGGAGGGGGCGGGGAAAGAGGCGGGGCGGAGGAGGAGGTGGGAACGTTCTGGCGGGAATTCGGGGTGGAGTCGTGGTGACGTCATAGGGAGCGGTGTCGTCATGGAATCGTGACGGAATTGTCATGGAACCGTCATGGAATCGTGACGGAATTGTCATGGAATCGTTACGGAATTGTCATGGAATGTCATGCAATTGTCGTGCAATTGTCATGGAATTGTCATGGAATTGTCATGGAACCATGGTGTGAAAAATGCATATTTTATGATTGGCTTTTGGCAAATATTGAAATTAATACTATATTGTTATGTTAGAAAGTGATGCTGTATTAATTTTCTTAAGTAGTGTCTTAAATATAGTTTTAGGTTATGACATAAAGTTAAAATATAAACTATGCTATGTAAGATTCTTTTTTTAAAGAGAAGACTCACACTGAGATAGCAGCCACAGGACACCTGAATCTTTCAGAGAAAGAGATTTTTATTGCTCCATTATCTGGAGAAACAAACTTCTTCTTGCCTCACTCAGCCCTAAAGATGACATTAGGATTATGAGGAAGCAGCTGACACTGTCCAGACAGAATCCTGTATTTGAATGGAATTTATGCATCATGTATGAGCTGTGTGAATATGCAACAGGCTGTTGCTTTTAAGGGTTAATCCTCTGTTAACGTGGGGCCTTTTTCGGGCTTATTTTGCCCAGAAAAGGTACCTGGACCGTCTGTAACTCTTTGTTTTTATTGTCTTATGTTGTCCTAAATCCAAATTGTCCCAATTTTGATTACTCTAATTATATTACTATTTTTATAACCACCCCGATCCCAATCCCGATCCCAAACCGGGATGGCGGGCGGGCGATGGCGCTGGCGGCCCTGCTGGAGCCCTTGGCCACTGTCCCGTCCCGTCCTGTCCCGTCCCATTCCCGGGAGATCCCAACCGGTTCCTCCGGCCCCGCGGGCGCGGTGCCGGCGCCTCTGGAGCCGCCCGCGGCGAGTCCCGACCTGTTCCCCTCCTTCCCAAACCCCGGTGATCCCGGGAGGTCACCCTGCCCCGGGGTGGATCCCAGGGGGGAATCCCTGGGTGGATCCCAGGGGGGGTTCCAAGGAGGATTCTGGGGTGGATCCTGGGGTAGATCCCAGTGGGAATCCCAGGGTGGATCCAAGGTGGATCACAGGGGGGATCACAGGAGGATGCCAGGGTGGATTCCAGGGGGAGTTCCATGGGGGATTCTGGGTGGATCCTGAGGTGGATCCCAGGGTGAATCTCAGGGTGGATCCATGGCTGTCTCCAGGCCCTTGGGGTGACCCAGGATGGCTTTTCCCCGTGACCCCAGAGTGGATCCCAGGTGGGATCCGGGGGTGGATCTCGGGGTGGATCCCAAGGGAGATCCCAGGGTGGATTTTGGGGTGGATGTCAGGGTGGATCCCAGGGTAGATCCCAGGATGGATCCCAGGGCTGTCTCCAGGCCCTTGGGGTGACCCAGGATGGCTTTTCCCCGGATGGATCCCAGGTGGATCCCAGGATGGATCCCAGGATGGATCCCAGGGCTGTCTCCAAGCCCTTGGGGTGACCTGGAGTGGGATTTTTTCCGTGACCCCACAGTGGGATGTCCCCTGGGGGCACTCACAGCGGGGACAGGGCAGGAATCCCGAGCAGGAACCAAGGAAGGAGCTCACAACACCCCTCGGGTTGGTGCCTTTATTGTGCAGCTGGATCCCAGCGGGATCCCCTGGGAATGCTGGGGTGCAGAGGGGGTGAGCTGGGGGGGCCTGGAGGGGCTCTTGGGGGATTTTGGGAGCCCACGGGAATGCGGCAGGAGGGAGGGTCAGGCGTTCTCCCAGAAGAAAGTGTTGCAGGCCACGGTCAGGGCGGCCACCAGGACCACGAATTCCTGGAAATCCACCTCCCCGTCGCCGTTCTCATCCAGGTCCTGCATGATCTTCTCCACGGCCCCCGCGTCCTTCTGGGTCTGGGGAGGGCACAGGGTGAGCCCTGGGGCCGGGCAGGCGCCGTTCCCCTGGGAAATGGGGGAAAAGGAGCCCCCCCGGTGCCCAAACTGGTCCCAGTTACCTCCAGGAAACATCCCAGCTCGCTCTGCAGCAGCTCCTTGAGCTCCTTCTTGCTCAGCTTGTACTTGTCGCCCTCCTTGCCCGAGTAGTGGTGGAAGACATTGATCAGGGTCTCCATGGCCCCTTCCAGCTGCGATCCCATGGCTGCGGCTGCGGGACCCCCAAACGTCACCCGCCAGCCCCCCTGTCCCGGCAACCCCCCCTGGCCACAGCCCCTGGATCCCTCATCCCCCAAGTTCCTGATCCCCCAAGTTCCTGATCCCCCAAATTCCTCATCTCCTAAATTCCTGATCCCCTAAATTCCTCATCTCCTAAATTCCTGATCCCCCAAATTCCTGATCCCCCAAATTCCTCAGTCCCTGAATTCCTCATCTCCCAAGTTCCTCAGCCCTCAAATTCCTGATCCCCCAAATTCCTCATCTCCTAAATTCCCGATCCCCCCAATTCCTCAGCCCCCAAATTCCTGATCCCCCAAATTCCTCATCTCCCAAGTTCCTGATCCCCGAAATTCCTGATCTCCCAAATTCCTCAGCCCCCAAAATGTCACCCACCCCTGGCTGTGGTCCCACTGGGCAGGACTGGGGGGTCTGGAGGGATCCCAGTGTCAGGACTGGGGCTTCTGAGGGGATCCCAGGGGGGTTCTGGGGGATCCCAGGGGGTTTTGAGGGGATCCCAGGGGGGTCTGGGGGGGATCCCAGGGGCTGGGCAGAGCGTTCTGAGGGGAGGTTTGGGGTGGAACAGAGGCACCTGTGCTCACCTGAGCTCCCCGTGCTGCGAGTGCGCCCGCCCGGCCGGGCCGGGCACGTTAAATAAGCTCCAAGCCCCCTCCCTCCGGGAGGATCCGATACCGGGGCTGGGCAGCCGGGCTGGCACCGCCGGCCAGCCCCGCGGGGGCCGGGCACGGGGGGCACAAACCTCGGACAGCACCCCCAGAACGGCGGGGGGACAGCATCGCTTCAGGAGGGGTCCCCGCGCCACCCTCGAGCGTCCCTCATCCCCCCCAAATGCGGGAAAATCGGGGACATCGCCGAGATTGGGACGGACACGGGGGTCACGCATCGGGGACAGCCCCAGGGGACCCCCAGGTGGCAGCGGTGGCCACGCCATGACCCTGCGGGCATCCCCCGTCTGTCAGCACCGGGAACGGGGCCGCATCGCCGGGCTGGGACCGGCGGCTGCCGGTGCCCATAACGGATCCGGTGTCCTCGGGAGCCAGCGCGGCCCGGGGGGAGCGCCGGGGGCTATCGGGTGACTCCGCGGGGCCCCCCGCGCTCTCAAAGGGCTCTTGTCCGCCTGAAAGGGCCCCACAAAGGCCCAGCCCGGCGTTGCTCCAGCAACGGCTCGGCCAAAGAAACCGGAGCCGAGCTGGCCCCGGTGCTGCCGATAATGCCCGGGATCCCGTTACGGCCCCGGGCCCGCGCGGGCTGGAGCCCCGCAGCCTCCTCGGCTCCGGCATCCCCGGGGAGATCGGCCCCGAATTCCTCTGCCCCCGAATTCCTGATGTCCTAAATTCCCGATCCCCCGAATTCCTGATCCCCCAAATTCCTCACGTCCTAAATTCCTGATCCCCCGAGTTCCTGATCCCCCAAATTCCTCACGTCCTAAATATCTGACCCCCCGAATTCCTGATCCCCCGAATTCCTGATCCCCCGAATTCCTCACGTCCTAAATTCCTGATTCCCCGAATTCCTGATCCCCCGAATTCCTGATCCCCCGAGTTCCTGATCCCCCGAATTCCTCACGTCCTAAATTCCTTATCTCTTAAATTCCTCAGCACCTGAATTCCTGATCTCCCAAATTCCTCACCCCCCAAATTCTTAATCCCCAGAATTCCTCATCTCCTAAATTCCTAATCTCCCAAATTCCCGATCCCCCAAATTCCTGATCCCCCGAATTCCTCATCCCCTAAATTAATTCCTAATCTTCCAAATTCCTGATCCCCCAAGCTCCTCAGCCCCCAAATTCTTCATCCCCTAAATTCCTAATCCCCCAAATGCTTCAGACCCCAAATTCCTCAGCCCCTGAATTCCCCATCTCCTAAATTAATTCCTAATCTCCCAAATTCCTAATCCCTCCAATTCCTCAGCCCCCAAGTTCCTCAGCCTCCAATTTCCTGATCCCCCAAATTCTTAATCCTCCAAATACCTCAGCCCTCAAATTCTTAATCCCCTGAATTCCTCATCTCCTAAATTCCTGATCCCCCAAATTCCTGATCCCCCAAATTCCTCATCCCCCATATTCCTAATCCCTCAAATTCCTAATCCCCATGTATTCCTAATCCCCCGAATTCCTCATCTCCTAAATTAATTCTTAATCTCTGAAATTCCTCAGCCCCCAAATTCTTCAACTCCTATATTCCCAATCCCCCAAATTCCTCATCCCCCAAATTCCTCATCCCTCAAATTCCTCATCCCCCAAATTTCTCATCTCCCATATTCCTGATCCCCCATATTCCTCACCCCCAAATTCCTCACCCCCTCTCCGTGACCCCCCCAGGAGCTGTGACCCCCTCAAACAGGAGCAGCATTTCCAGCAGGGCCGGATGGTGCCGAGCTCCTCGTGCCGTGTTCCAGCCCTAATTAGGGCTTAATTAACATCCTGCAGCTCCCTCATTTCCTGTCCCCGCGGCTGAGGACGGGCCCTGCCCGGGGACCCCAAACCCGGTGGGGCCGAACCCTGGGAATGGGGAAATTGGGGGGTCCGGGATGGATTAAGGGGGTCCCCAAACAGGGGAGAGGTCCCAGGTGGGGCCAAACCCTGGGAATGGGGAAACTGGGGGGGTCTCTGATGGATTAAGGGGGTCCCCAAACAGGGGAGGGGTCTCAAAAGGCACCTCTGGACCAGGACACGGCCCCATTGCGGTATGGGGCAGGGGGGGGGCGGGGTCCGGGAGGGGTCGGATCCCAAAATTCCGAGCCTGGGGGGGCACCGGGAGGGAGCGGATCCCAAAATTCCGAGTTTGGGGGGGCACCGGGAGGGAGCGGATCCCAAAATTCCGGGTTTGGGGGGGCACCGGGAGGGAATGGATCCCAAAATTCCGAGCTTGGGGGGCACCAGGAGGGAGCGGATCCCAAAATTCCGAGGCTGGGGGGCACCGGGAGGGGTCCCGTGGCACTCACTCGCCGCGTCCCCGTCCCCTGAGCGGATCAGAGCGGGCAGGATCCCGGGAAAGCCCCGGGAACGTCACCGGGCTCGTGACAGGGACGGGCATTGGCCAAAAATAACCCCGAGCCCACCCCGTGCCAGGCGGGGACAGAGGGGACAGCGACGGGGCTGGCACGGAGGGAGCGTCCGAGGTGCATTCCGAGCCCCAGGAACCCTTTGGGGACAGCGGCACCGGGGGTGAACCCCAATTCTGGGGGGGTCCCGGACCCTGCAGGGCTGGAGATTCCCAGAAGTGGGAGCAACAAGGGACACGCCAGGAGCTTTACACACAGCCTGGAACAGGTCCCAGGCCCCAAATCCTTGGGGACAGCAGGAATGAGGGGTCCCAGGCTGAACCCCAATTCTGGGGGGTCCTGGGGGGTCCCAGACCCTGCAGGGCTGGCAAATTCCCAGGAGCTGTTCCCAAAGTGGACACGCCAGGAGCTTTACACACACCCTGGAACAGGTCCAAGCCCCCCAAATCCTTGGGGACAGCAGGAATGAGGGGTCCCAGGGTGAACCCCAACTCTGGGGGGTCCCAAACCCGGCAGGGCTGGAGATTCCCAGAAGTGGGAGCAACAAGGGACATGCCAGGAGCTTTACACACAGCCTGGAACAGGTCCCAGCCCCCAAATCCCTCTGGGACAGCAGCACCGAGGGTGAACCCCAACTCTGGGGGGTGCTGGGGGGTCCTGGGGGGTCCCGGACCGTGCAGGGCAGATTCCCAGGAGCTGTTCCTAAAACAGCAGTGAGGGACATGCCAGGAGCTTTACACACAGCCTGGAACAGGTCCCAGCCACTGCGACTCCCCTGCTCCACTTTGACCCAGCTAAACCAGTTGCTCCAGTTTAAACCAGTGCCGGGGCTGGGCCGAGCTTGTCTCCCCATCCCATCGCCTGCGAGAGGCTTTTCCATACTCGCGCTTTGGGAAGGGAGGAGCTGAGGTGGCCGGGTTGGGGACACCGCCCGTGGTGGCTCTGTGGCACCTCTGTCCCCTCCAGAGAGACCCGGTGGGGCCAGCAGGGGCCACTGCCGGGCTGGACACTGTGGTGGCTGTGGTGACATCCCCGGTTGGGGTCTCCAGCCCAGGCAGGGGTCACTGCTGGGCTGGACACTGTGGTGGCCGTGGTGACATCCCCGGTTGGGGTCTCCAGCCCAGGCAGGGTGTGGAGAACCCCAGGAGGAGGATGTGGACGTGGACACTGAGCCCCTGCTTGTGGTTACCCTGTCACACAGGGTCCTGTTGTCCTGTATGGCCCTGTCCCTATATGGATGGCCCTGTCCCTATATGGTCCCTGTCCCTTTATGGCCCAAGTTCCTACATGGTCCCTGTCACTGTATGGTCCCATCCCTGTCTCTATATGGCCCAAATCTCTTTATGGCCCAAGTCCCTAAATGGTCCCTGTCCCTATATGGTCCCTGTCCCTATATGGTCCCTGTATGGCCCAAATCTCTATATGGTCCCTGTCCCTATATGGTCCCTGTCCCTATATGGTCCCTGACCCTACAAGGTCCCTGTCCCTATATGGCCCTGTCCCTGTCCCTTTATGGCCCCCATCCCTGTCCCTAGATGGCCCCAGTCCCTCCACAGTCCCAGTCCCATTCCCTTTATGGTCCCCTCCTGTCCCCGCTGGTGTCCCCAAGGCCATCTCACCCCCCCCGCCCATGGGGACAGTCCCAATGGGAATCCCAGAGTGTCCCCTGGATGTCCCTTCCCCTCCCGTTGTGGGGCACCTGCCCCTTCCTCACCCCAAATTCCAGGCTCAGGAGTCACGGGCCCGCCTGGCTCCGGGGCCGCTGATTCACCCCAAACCTGTCCCCGCTCCTGCCCCTGACTCACCCGCCCTTTCCCAAGAGGCCACCCCGGTGTCCTGACGTGGGGCTCGGGGACCGTCCCAGCCCCGTCCCGTCCCCCTCCCCGTCCTGCCGGGGCCGGATGGGGCTGCAGGAAACCAATTCCTGCCCCGTGAGCTGGGGTGACAACTGTGGGGTGGGGACAGGGCCCGTGGGAGCCTCCCTGTCCCCGTGAGTGTCCCAGGGCTCAGCACAACCCAGTGACAGTGACATTGTACCGGGGACACCCCTGTCCTTGGTCCCCAAAAGACCCATGGGGCTCTGGGACCCCAAATTCCCATGTGTCACCCTGGGGGGCCGCAGCTGGTTGGGGGCACTGGGGACATTGAGGACAGTCCTGGGGTGGACAATTGTGACATTGTACCAGGGACACCCCTGTCCTAAACCCCAAAAACACCCCTGGGGCTTTGGGACCCCAAATTCCTGCGTTTTCCCCTGGGGGGCTGCAGCTGCCTTGGGGACATTGAGGACAGTCCTGAGGTGGACAATTGTGACATTGCCCTGGGGACCCCCTGTCCTTGGTCCCCAAAACACCGCTGGGGCTTTGGGACCCCAAATTCCTGGGTTTTCCCCTGGGGGGCTGCAGCTGGTTGGGGCCATTGGGGACAGTCCTGAGGCTGACAATTGTGACATTTTGGTGGGGACCCCCTTTCCTCGGCCCTAAAACACCCCTGGGGCTTTGGGCTCCCAAATTCCCATGTGTTGCCTTTGGGGGGCTGCAGCCTCGCTGTTTGTCACACCCCTGGGTGAGGCTGGGGACATTGGGGACAGTCCTGAGGCTGAGGGTCCCCTCGGGGTGTGGGGCACAGTTTGGGGTCCCCGTGGGAATGGGGGTGCCCA